GCTCCGGGCTGTGTCCTGTCTAAGGGGTCACTCAGTGTGTGGACAGACGTGGGCGATCCTGTGGGCGCCTCCCATCACCGGCACCTCCCTGGCCGCGGCCCCGCCCACCGCGTGTGGGCCTCTGTGTTTGTAAGAAGTGTTGGGGCCTCAAAGGCGACCCCGCGGCTAGGGGAACAGAGAGACCCCGCCCGCGCACCCACAGGTCCAGCCTTGGACGGGGCTCGGCCTCGGCCCCGCCGCTGCTCGGGCTGCTCCTCTTCGAGGCCGGCGCCTTTCCTGTGACGAAGCCCCGCGGACTGCCCGAAAGCAGCAGGGGGCGCCGGCGGCAGCGGGTGTCTCCGCCCAGGCGACACCCACGCCCCTCGGCCCGTCCCGGCACCGGGGCCCTGGACAGCAGCTGCACGTGTCCGGACGGCCGCATTGCCGCCAGGCCCGGCTTCGCGGAAATCTTCATAGGGGCTTCGCGCGTGTGTGAGCGGCGGGGCCTGCCTAAAAGCTGGAAGGGAAGCGGCTTTTCTAAGAAATGCAAAGTTTTTGGGGATGACATATCTGTGAACTGTCACTTTTGTCATCAGATTTTTTCCCTGAGTAATACGACTTTAATTTGGCTGCCTGATTCCAGCCCCGGAGCAATTATAAACTATTTATAGACATTTGAAGTGAAATGCAGTTTGCATGTGTGTACAGCTTAGGTTTCAGCATGGGTAATCCGCTGAATTATAATCCTGAACTTGCTTCATGGTGCTGCTTTTTTTTGCCTACAGATGTCAAAGAGTTGTGGCTGCAGGGACTCGATTTATTAATTTCTTGCCGATGGCCACGTGAAACACATTAGGTGAAAAGAAGTGGGGCCAGGTGCCCTGTCACTGGGTGCCCTGTGGGTGGGTGTCACGTGGCCAGGTGCCCTGTGGGTGGGTGCCGTGGGGCAGGGTGCCCGGTCGCTGGGTGCCCTGTGGGTGGGTGCCCCGTGGCCAGGTGCCCTGTGGGTGGGTGCCGTGGGGCAGGGTGCCCCGTCGCTGGGTGCCCTGTGGGTGGGTGCCCCGTGGCCAGGTGCCCTGTGGGTGGGTGCC